ATCTTTTAATTAACCACACTTGGCTTGAAGCATATGTGACAATTTTCTCCACAGACATGTTATTCAACAACAAAGATGTTCCTAATTGAGTTAGTGTTTTTGCACCTTGGTGGCACATTTTTGGCTGCTGACTCAGTCATCCAGAAACTGCACTTTGATCTTATAATTTGCCACCATCAAATACATTCTCACAATTACGCTGAACACATCCGAGAGTTAATTAAGCACAACAGTTGTCTAACCACTGGAAACATGTTGTTGCTGTGGTCTTTATGTTGCTTCAGACATTTCATTCTCATCGACCCTTGACAAGTTTCTTTGGCTCCTTATATTTTTGTTGGTTAAATTGTTAGCTCTCTATGGGGGGAGGGGGGGGACATGTTTTTCTATGTTGGCTTTGGATCCGTTTTCTCCTATTATGGTTGAAGTGTTATAAAATCGTTAATATAAGTTACATTTTTTTGTGAGCACATGTCCTGGTCCAAAAGTCCAGCGTTATGCCATGTCATTAAACAGTTTCTCCACAGAAATAAGTAGACAATTGAAGTTGCTACTTCACATGATATCTCCCACCAATGACGCTTGAATTTGCTCAAGAGTGTCGAATGGCACCTATTTAACATAAAACTATTTATGGCTATTACTGTCATTTATTTTCAAATGTAATAAAATTTCAGGATGTGGTGTTAGCTGTGGCGCTTAATGAATATTTTCAATTTTCACCTTTATTTTACTTTGCCATGGAACTAATTCTTTTAAAATGCAATTTCTTGCACTGTAAACATCATCTCTTCAGAAACCAATTGGTCAATGAAATCACTGACACTTCATGTTCTGTTCCCACCAAAAGTAACACCTGTATTTGTTGAAAGGTTTGATTCCTCCACAACACACTTTTTTTAAAAATCTGTGGGTTTTAAAGCATTTTCTTTTTTATAGATATGTTAAATGTTAACCTTAATTTAACCTTTGTTTGGCACATGCTCTTAGTTCTGTCCAAATGTGCTTAGGCTCTTAGTTACCTCATCAGAAGTAACTGGACAAATGAAGCTAAAACTTTGAATACTTACACTGCTTAGTTGAAAATGTAAAGTTATACTCAAAAGTTCTCTCAAAATGCTTTTTTGGCTCAAGAAACAACTGAAACCCCATTTCACCTCACATCTTACCTGAAATTGACAAACTGAGGAAGCTGAACTTTGGCATGTATGTTTCCGACACACCTGTGGGTGAGAAACCCATTTGAGATAACTGGTATGAAATGTGTGAGATCAAATTCCAGGCCCGTGATGGGATACTTCATGAGTTCCGGTCTGAATTACCTCCATAGACTAACAATTAAAATTCCACAAAAATGAAAGTGAATAATGCTTAATAACCATGACATGTTTGACATTTCTGGGACATAGAAAAATACCACTATTACTGGACTGCTGGGATCTCACAGCTCTCGATACAATCCTAATGCAATGGAGCCTATTGTTCAGTGCAGAACTTTAAAAAGTCCTTCCTGACAATATTGCCCTTAAAATCAATGAAATGTTGCTGATACATTCATTAATTGTGCGATATTTGAGATATTGAATCAGTTGTTTGCTTCAGTTGGTAGTGCACTGAATATGAGATTACTGTGGCGTGAAACAGCTGATCAATCAAACTACAATTGGTGACTTTGGATCATATAATTACAAAATATGTGTTGTGATTTTGTGCAAGTTAAGCAAATGACGGGCTCATTGCATGGGTGTTCTCACATTGCCCAACTCTATTGTTCTAATTTTAATATCACCCAGCCATGCTAATCCCCTAACAAATAGGGATTAAGGTTACCATATTTTCTTGCAGGTTCAGTATTTTGGAAAAAAAAAATTAGAAAAAAATTACACAGTACCCCTTCAGCGAAGTCCGCCAAACGAATGGGTGAATTTGAGATAAAAAAAATCACCAGACATGTTGATTTACCTTTTAAATTGTTCTGCTAGGCATTGTTTTATATCCAGTAATTAAGATTACCTTGTGTATTTTCTCGTAACCTAAGCCGGAAACAGCAATCAGCTGTACACACGTTTTCTTGGAATCGACCGGTGATTCGGTCAAGACACACCCAATGATATAACTTTATAGGAGTTTTAATGCAAGGATCGGCAACAATTGTATCTGAAACTATTTTTTTTATCAGGAATAAAATATTCCAATATGTTGTTAATTTAGATGCAGCTTTTACTAAACAAATTTAAAATAATAATAACCCTATGCGAAGCAGCTGATGGCTATTGCCGGGTATTATTTTTTACATGGAACCAGTCTGACCAGTCACCGTCAAGTCTCATGCAGAAAAAGGAAAAACTTGTGAATGACACAAGTAACATTTTCACATCTCAAGTTTTTATTTATGACATTATAAGACATTTATTTTCACATTTCACTCATTACATCCAGAAGGTGTGACACATCACCATACCATATAACTGATAGATTTTGTTGGAGCAACCTGTTCTTTAACACTTCAAGTTGATCATCTATGGCTCATAACATTTTCTTTCTTGGTCGAAGGTAACCTCCAGATTGCAGCTGGATCGATAATATTTCAGTCTGGAATTGTTCTTTCTTTATCAGGTCAATAGATTTGTAGATGTTGAGGTGGCAAGCCACTTATTTCGTCAATTATAAATGCCACCTTAGAACATGATTTGTTGTCCTTGGCCCATTCCTGGAGAGGGGCGGTCGGGTAGCCTAGTGGTAAAGCGTTCGCTCGTCACGCTGAAGACCCCGGTACGATTCCCTAAATGGGTACAATGTGTGAAGCCCATTTCTGGTGTCCCCCGCTGTGATATTGCTGGAATATTGCTAAAAGTGTAAAACTCACTCACTCACCTTGAGAATTGGGCCAACACTTCTCTGATACCACCTTCAACCCACTGTTTATTGACAGTCTGCAAATCTTCTTACATCTCGATTGACAAGGTCAACATTTTCTAAGGCATTGAACCAAAAGTTCATGATGGCATCTGAACATTCTGTAGTTGTAATAATACATGTGCAGTTGAGTTTCCAGAGGGGAGCATGTCACTTCTGCAGTCCTCAGTGTTTCTGTTGCACACAGAAGTGTGTTGCACGAATCTTACCAAGAAGATGGCTGTTGATATGTTACTTGAGGTACGTATGCAAATGTCATCTATGAACATGCAGAAATAGATGCATTTATTTAATGTTATTCAATCGTTAGGTCATAGGCAAAATGATATCATGTGTCATTAAACAAAACATACATGGTGGACACATTTTGGTGTTCATGCAGTAATTGATTGTGTGATACTGTTTCTCGAAACTGATATTATTCGATGTAGTCATTTTAAAAAAACCTGAATGTTCGTTTTTGACACAAATAGTTCATATTGTTCATTCTCAAAAGGACTAGTAGTTCGTAATGAACTAATATATATTGTCATTGAAGATCTAGATCTAAAACATAAACATGTGTCATAGATATAATGTTGACCTAAGTATGTTTTTAAATATTTAATGTATAAAAAGAGCTTCTTTTTTTTAGCTATTTTTTCATCTATGTTGATCTAATAATTATTCCAATATTTCAGTAATTCAGTATACATGAACTATTTCTTGTTTTTATATTTTGATTTGTCTGTTTGTTATTTAACGTCACACTCAGCAGTAGTCCAGGTATATGACAGCGGTCTGTAAATAATCAAGTCTGGAGCAGACAATAAAGTGAGTGACACCATGGGCATCGATCCAAGTCAGCGAGCCTGACCACCCGATCCCGTTAGTCGCCTCTTATGGCAAGCATGGGTTGCTTAAGACCTATTTTACCTCGGATCTTCACAGGTCGTTTTGTATTTTGATGTTGATAATCTTTCAATATGTAATTTCTTAGCTATATTTTCATGTTCACTTTCATCAAGCTCTCCAAAAACATGAATTGATAATTTTGATTAACTGTTTTACCTATGTTGAACATATGATATGGTATTCTGATACGAAACATCTTATGTTTTCAAAGTAAGATACAAATATGAAAACTCAGCAGTGAAGATGAGTGGCAGCCACAGCAGTGTTATCAGGTATCCGGATTACCGTATATCGCTGTGTATAAGGCGACCCCACGTATAAGACGACCCCCCTGTACACGCCTTAAAAATCAACCCAAAATCCTATACTCCGTGTATAAGGCGACCGGGAATGAAACACATCACAAGTCTGACTGATATAGAAGATTTAACGTGCGCTTTCCGATTGTAGCGTATTTCGCACACGGACATCACAAGTTAGTTAGCTAGTTAGTTACTTTGGAGATTTAACGTGCGCTTTCCGACTGATGCATATTTCGCACACATCACAAGTGCGCACACAAACCTTATATATGCAATAAAAATATTTTTATCTTGCGTTGTTTTTTTTCTACAATGATAGGTCGCGTGTGTAACTCCAGCACACGTCGCCATTTTGTGTTTACACGGTACGACATCAAATTGGTGCCCGTAAAATAAAATTCATTTATGAAGTAATAACATATAAGAGACAATGGTGAGTAATTTAATCGCCAATTAACTATGTTGTAACTAACTAGGCTTATGTTTGCTTCACATTCAGCGTGTTTATTCCACAATCACTTGTACACACCGTCTCCAACACTTGTTAATACAACTGTAAAAACAGCGGGAATTGATTTCAGCTTCACCGGTTATCACATGTTAGGTCACATGTGCAATATGCAAATGCTTACCGGTACTTCCGGCTCTCTACTCACGGATGTTGATTGTTTTACCGTGTCAGGTGGTTTGACAATCTGCATCGAGGCGAGGGTCATTTCAACTTTATTTGCAGAAATGATTAAACTTTATTCAAGGAAAAGAGATGCAAATCATGTTTATGTATGGAAATAGTTATTGGAACAGTTATTTAGGATGAAATGCGAAGTTTTATTGTCAAATGCTGGGCTGGCTATCGGACGCCGGTTGACATCGCCAGTGGAAAAAAATGTGAGATTTTCAACTCCGTGTATAAGACGACCCCCCTTCTTAGCCCCTTCATTTTAGGTACGAAAAACTCGCCTTATACACAGCGATATACGGTACTATTGCCCGGATTATCATCGCCAACACGCCCCCTCCACCTGCAGCATTGATTACCGTCGTCAACACGCCCCCTCCACCTGCAGCATTGATTACCGTCGTCAACACGCCCCCTCCACCTGCAGCATTGATTACCATCGTCAACACGCCCCCTCCACCTGCAGCATTGATTACCATCGTCAACACGCCCCCTCCACCTGCAAGCATATTATAGCTTCCCATCGCCACCATGCACTTCACCTGCAGCACAGCTTCCCATCGCCACCATGCACTTCACCTGCAGCACAGCTTCCCATCGCCACCATGCACTTCACCTGCAGCATAGCTTCCCATCGCCACCATGCACTTCACCTGCAGCATAGCTTCCCATCGCCACCATGCACTTCACCTGCAGCACAGCTTCCCATCGCCACCATGCACTTCACCTGCAGCACAGCTTCCCATCGCCACCATGCACTTCACCTGCAGCAGAGACCATCGCCACCATGCACTTCACCTGCAGCATAGCTTCCCATTGCCACTATGCACTTCACCTGCAGCATAGCTTCCCATCGCCACCATGCACTTCACCTGCAGCATAGCTTCCCATCGCCACCATGCACTTCACCTGCAGCATAGCTTCCCATTGCCACTATGCACTTCACCTGCAGCATAGCTTCCCATCGCCACCATGCACTTCACCTGCAGCATAGCTTCCCATCGCCACCATGCACTTCACCTGCAGCATAGCTTCCCATTGCCACCATGCACTTCACCTGCAGCATAGCTACCCATCGCCACCATGCACTTCACCTGCAGCATAGCTTCCCATCGCCACCATGCACTTCACCTGCAGCATAGCTTCCCATCGCCACCATGCACTTCACCTGCAGCATAGCTACCCATCGCCACCATGCACTTCACCTGCAGCAGAGACCATCGCCACCATGCACTTCACCTGCAGCACAGCTTCCCATCGCCACCATGCACTTCACCTGCAAGCATAGCTTCCCATCGCCACCATGCACTTCACCTGCAGCATAGCTTCCCATCGCCACCATGCACTTCACCTGCAGCATAGCTTCCCATCGCCACCATGCACTTCACCTGCAGCAGAGACCATCGCCACCATGCACTTCACCTGCAGCAGAGACCATCGCCACCATGCACTTCACCTGCAGCATAGCTTCCCATCGCCACCATGCACTTCACCTGCAGCATAGCTTCCCATCGCCACCATGCACTTCACCTGCAGCATAGCTTCCCATTGCCACTATGCACTTCACCTGCAGCACAGCTTCCCATCGCCACCATGCACTTCACCTGCAGCATAGCTTCCCATCGCCACCATGCACTTCACCTGCAGCATAGCTTCCCATCGCCACCATGCACTTCACCTGCAGCATAGCTTCCCATCGCCACCATGCACTTCACCTGCAGCAGAGACCATCTCCAAGAAAAGGAAGAAGACAATGTCTGGCCCCCCTTCTGCAAAACACTGACTGGTGCTCACAGATAGTGCAACAGGTATGACTACCACAGCCATCACAACATTGGAAGCCATCTTTGCAGATGGACTGAGAGGCTCCGGCGGAGCATACTATAACAGTAACAACAAACTTTATTTGTCATGGTAATTTGTATTGTTTTGATACATTGATCAACATTTTTCAAAATAAAATGACAATGACCTCCAGCTTCAGCCCACAGTTTATTCAAAAGATCTGAGATGATCCATTGACATGGCAAAGAAACATGACAGATGTTGAGGTTAAAGTCACAATGATGACGATTTCAGTCCAACAGAAGGAATAGATCTATGGTGTATATATGATCGTACGATAACATTCATTGAGATGAATGACACTGTTCGAATATTACATATATAGTACATATAATTTGTTATTACTTCCAGAGCTTTGTAGAAGCTCAGGACATCGACTCCCTGAGGAGGATCAACACAGAGCTCTGTATCCATGCCCCATGCAGGCGTCCAGGCTAACAAGGATGTCAGACCTGATGCACAACACCAACCCGATGTGCCGCCGTCATGATGCACAACACCAACCCGATGTGCCGCCGTCATGGTGCACAACACCAACCCGATGTGCCGTCATCATGCACAACACCAACCCGATGTGCCGCCGTCATGGTGCACAACACCAACCCGATGTGCCGCCGTCATGGTGCACAACACCAACCCGATGTGCCGTCATGATGCACAACACCAACCGGATGTGCCGTCATGATGCACAACACCAACCCGATGTGTGGCCGTCATGGTGCACAACACCAACCCGATGTGCCGCCGTCATGGTGCACAACACCAACCCGATGTGCCGTCATGGTGCACAACACCAACCCGATGTGTGGCCGTCATGATGCACAACACCAACCCGATGTGTGGCCGTCATGATGCACAACACCAACCCGATGTGCCGACGTCATGGTGCACAACACCAACCCGATGTGCCGTCATGGTGCAGATGGGGCTGCTGTCAGACAAAGGAAATAAGTGTTGCCATAGAGACCAGATGCAAAGTGAGCCAGCCATATGGACACTGTGACCACAACAGAATGTTTCTTGGCAGCATTCTTAACCCCATAGCACGATGGAGGCGTGGTTATTTTATGTCATGATGCCCAGGTCAGCAACAAGGCCTTCAGGTGCCATGCCTGCAGAAGTTACTTTCTTGACCCATGGGGTCCTGGGACCAAGGAACAGAAAGGTTGCCCCTAAGGGCCCTGATGTGTGCTGGCAATTCACAGCCAATCCAGATCCCAGAGGACAATACACTGGACTTAAACTAGCCTGAAATTTTCATTTGAACATTTAAAACGGTGACGTTTGCACAAATTATTTGAAGTTTCTTATTTGAATGAATGACCTCATCCTGATGATCAAATTTGTAAAGTACTTTTCTTAAATGTGAATGACAGCATTAAAATGTATCTTAAAAGTGTAAATTTGCTTTGTCACTGTTGACATATGTATGTGTACATACATTTCTTCTTGGAATGTTTTATGTACTTGCTTTTGTGTTTATATGTGATATACATTGCCAAACAGTTGTATCTTTTCTCACTGGATGTTTCATTATGTATATATCAGACTTGACCACGGAACCATACTGTTTACATTGTAGCTGGCCGGTGGATGTATTTTTAATTCATGCCATATTTGCCATGTTACTGCTTCTATGCATCCAGCCACACGTTAATAAAATATTTTTCTTCTTCTTTTTTCTTCATGTTCCTCAACAAGCTTCATGACAGGTGGTTAAGGTCTTTTGGAGATGGTGCTACAGATTTTTTAGGGGAGGATGATTTTTCACATCATGTCCTGGGTCTCCTGACTTTTTTGTCTGGTAAGCCAGAACTTTGTTGATTGGCTGTGTAGCTTCAGTTCTTTCTCAACTTGGGGCGGCTGGGTAGCCTAGTGGTTAAAAGCGTTCGCTCGTCACGACGAAGACCCGGGTTCGATTCCCAACATGGGTACAATGTGTGAAGCACATTTCTGGTGTCCCCCTGCCGTGATATTGCTGGATTATTGCTAAAAGCGGCGTAAAACCATACTCACTCTTTCTCAACTTGGATTTTAATGGCCAGCACCTCTTGGATTTCTAGAATTAGCTAGAATTAGCTAGAATAAAATTATATGAAAATATAAGGGGCTTTCACAAGGGGTCACCCTAAACGGAAGGTTGAGTACCCCCCCCCTACCGCAATTACCGCAATTGGTGCCTTGAAACAACTTTAGTGCCATACTTTGACTCGCTGAATGTAGTTTGACTATTATGTCATCATAAAGTTTTTGCAATCGTGAGTGTAAGAGCATTGACGGTGATTCGTCAAATTGTTCCATGTGAAAATTTTTTGCGGCAATAGCGATCAACTGTACCAAAGTACTACGCTTAAGGTCCAAATATTTGTAGTAAAGCTGCAACTAAAATGATAACATTATATGGAATATATTATTCCTGATAAGATGATAGTTTCAGATTCAATTCTTCCGATCATTGTATCAAAATTCTTTGAAGTTACATTAATGGGTATCTTTTATCGAATCACCGGTAGATTGTGAGATGTGTGTACAGCTGATTGGTGTTTCTGGCTTAGTTTACGAGACAATCCACTAGGTAATCTTGATCTCTGCATATAAAACAGTGCCTAGCAGAACAGGAAATACAAATTTATCAGTAAATCATCATGTCGAGTGATGTTTTATCTCAAATTTCGAATTTGTATGACCAAGTTTAATTAACACCTGTTCGTTTCCCTGAATTCGCTGAAGGGATACGATGTAATTTTTTCCTGCGGAAGACAACACGTTCTTTTTGCAAATATAACACATTAAACCTCTTCATTTTGCACCTCTTGGTCCACTAACTTTGCTTTTATGGCTAAAAATATCTGTATCACATTTCTTTTTTTTGAAGAGTATAATATCCAGTCCAGGGAACAATGGTCCCAGAACCGCTCGCCATGAGCGTTCTGAAGATCTCTGCTAGTGGTCATAAACCTGTCACCAGGAGGCCTTATCTTTGCTTGTATCAGCAACTACAGTCACTTAGTTACGTGCCAATACATACAACAATGCGTCAGTACTCTGATTTACACTTCACTGAGTCGAACTGTTCATCCTGGAATCATTGTTTGTCTACTGGTTACAATCAATATATGCATATAATTACAACTAAAAACTGAACATTCTACCCTTAATATACACAATCCTTAAAAAAACAAATGTAAAGACTAACACCAACCAGAGTCAGCAGCTTCCATTATGTCAGTTCATTTGTGGAACTCTGTATGAAAAAAATACTGATTCTGGCTGATTGTTATGTTTTGATTCCTAAATTGAAACAATGTAAACCCAGAAATCTGTACATAGAGGAATTTAATGTCAAACCAACAAACAACAAACAAATTGTATACAATCCACACATGTATTACAAAATTAACAAGGTCTACAAGTCGATACTAATCACTGCACAGCAATTACAATAGCAGTACACAATAGTTGTACAATATTCAATGGCAATATATAATATGATTGCCTTGGTCAGTCTCAAACACAAAAATGGTGGGGACAGCAAAAGTTGGTGATAATAGTATATTCACCCAGCAGCGACAGTGGTCAAACTTTAGAGAAAGGCCTGGGCATGGAATCCAGGGTGATCAGTGATCTTCACTCAAAAGCTGATCTTGATGTAATAAGAGAGGCACGCTCTTGTCCCCTTATGTACAGTCTAACTATCTATTGGAATTTTCCACATGTTTCTTTAGCACACTATCAGTCCACGATCTTCAAGAAGTTTACACATGACACTTGCACCTATATATAATAACTTTCTGAAAACTGCTTACATTAAACAGTACTAAGATTCCTGACGACTTATCACTGTCCAAATGAGCTTTTACCAAATCTCAACAGAATTGTGATAGTTACAATCATTGTTTGATAATGCAATACACTATTTGTTATATGGCAATCACGGGGCCATGGAAATTCCAAAGGGCAGGACTGAGCATTGGTAATGCTGCCCTTGGTACATGAAACGTAGGTAGTTCCTGGGGGCTGGATGAATGGGGACATGAAGGTAGCATCTTGAAGATCAATGCTTACGAGAAAATCGTCCTGTTTTATCTGTGGTCAGTGAAGCATTCTGAACTCTGTGAGGTTTTGAAGGTACTTTTTGATCAACTTCATATTGTAGAATAAACAAAAATTCATTTGAGTTCTTTTTGGGGACCTACTGCTCCTGTTACAAGATCGCTAATTGCTTCTGTTATCTTGTGTTGCAGTACTTCTAACTGTGTGTCATAAACTCTGGAGGTCTTACTCTTAGAGTCTGACATTATAGTGTAATCTTCATCTATTTCCGGAGCCGAGAGAAAAGCCGTCATGCCATGCAGAGGGAGAGAGAACTTCTTGGGGTCAAAACCAGGAGTTGGTGGCCCTTGGATTCTTGTAGCCGTGGCGAAGGAAGTATCTAGATTCTTGCTGTTTGTGAAATTGGTTTGATAGGTGGAATAGTTAAGGTGTCAATATCTTCGCCCTTGATACACTGTCTGAAGCTGCATGGAGGTGGTTGGCTACGTACAGGAATCTGTTCTGTTCTGCATTTTGGAAGCTGATGATGGTGATGCAATCAGCTTCGTGGTGGTGATCACCTTCGCATAGTTGTGCTCTCTCATGGCTGAAGATGACTTCGATGGTGAAGAAGAGCTACTTTTCTTCTTCACTTGGGGGGGCACAGTTGGGCCAGTCGTCTAAGGCGCCGCGATTCGCTATATAGAGTTGCGTCCCTTGGGCACGCCAGAAACCTATGATTGTGGGTTCGAATCCCGGTTCGTCCCGATTGTTACTAGGTTTGTCAGCACCATACCCGTGCTCGTGGGTTTCACTGAAGTGGTAAACGTCTGAGACCTGCATCACTTTGGGCTTTCCTCCCACATTAAGCTGACACGCCGTGATATAACTGGAATACTGTTAAAAGCGGTGTTAAACCAAACTCACTGACTCACTTCTTCACTCGAGATTGAAGGTTCTTTTTGTAATCGGAGGAAACAAAAGGGGATTTGGATGAATCCTTAAGAAGGGCATCGACCTCCTGCTGCCTTGAGAAGAGCTTGTTGGGATGACTGGTTTGTTCTGAGAGGTAGGAAAGTCAAAAGGAATTTCCTCTCGTCCTCTGTTACCTCCCATTTCTTCTTCTTCATCTAAGTTGTCTCTGATGAGGGTGATGTAGATAGTGATGAATCTCGCCTCTTACGGTCTATTGTCTTCCTCTGCAACACGAACAGGTACGATGTAAAGTCTTCCTCTCCTAAGGGAGCACATAAACTACACCTCCCGTCCACGGTGCAGTGTTGAGGAATGCAGGCCGAACATATGGGGTGATAATTTAATTTTTTATCTTAAGAAATAATCTCACTCAAAAGTTTAATAATGTGGGAGTGGTCTGTGACAACTTCCTTGACCTTGATGTTCCTGTCCAGCAGGTAGATGAGTGCTGGCTGGAAGGCTAACTCTTCATGGCAGAATTGCAAGTAGTCTCCCTCACATCTACTATCTCTCGTGCAGGACAGCCTCCATGACAGAGGCATTTTGTATTCTAGCCTTTGATAAACTCTGGCTTCTAATCCAAACAAGCTGGCAGTTAGTATTCGTAAAAAAAACACCAAAATCTTTCTCTTCAACTTGCCTCTAAGAAAAGACTAACGAAACCAGTTCACTCTGCACAGCACTTGTAGTGTAGGCTTCTCTGTGCGGAGTTTAATTGTTTTAGTTTGAGAATTAGAAGGTTTGACGTCACACTTGATATTATTTCATGGATGATTTAAAAAACAGAGCATACTGTCTGTAGGCATGCCCTACAGTATTAACATCTGAAATGTTAATTGCCCTGTTCACAAATTAATTCCTTTAGACTTGAAAGAAGAATAGTAAGCAAATTGTTTTCTTTTCAAACTGATGTATGACAGGTCAGCAATGAACAAATTATTTATACCTATCCACTTTCTACTGAAATTCTCAACCATTCTATTATCCTCTAAATCTCCAATCTACTCCATGGCTTCTCCTTATGTATCAAGAATCCTGGCCTTCTGTTTGATCTTTAGTGAGACAATGGAAGTCTATTTCCTTTAATTAAATTGCCAATTAACTCTTGACACTTTGTAACAGATGTAAAACAGGGAATCTTCACAGGTAGGTATCACCTGTTAAAGCATGTGCAACAGTTTGGTGACTTAATTCTTGTCACTTGGAAAATGTAACATATCGTTATTAGTCATGTTACTGCTTTGTAGTAAAAAAATGTTTCAATACAACCATGCAAATAATTGGGTCATTTCAGGTAACAATAGACATCAGTCATATGTTACTTAAAACATACATTAAAATAACTAATATGAAAATTGTACCAGATAATTGATAATCCTGCCTTCGTTACTTCTATATTTCTACTGCCAGCTGGGTAGCCAGTATACCCCTACCAACATGTTTTGATGGCAGGGACACCAGTCTACACTGAGTACCAATAGGAATTAACCAATAACTTCTTGTAGTCCATTGCCTGTACAGAGCTAAAGGCTATAATCAGACAGTATGTATACTGACTGAAAATTTGATCAATCTATATATTGACTGAATCACTAAGTCGATGTACATAGTGCCTGAAAAATGAAAGAAGACATCTTAAATTAATCTCATTGTGATTTGGATCTATTTT